ATGACTAAATTAGATTAAATAAAGCTAAATTGCATTAGGTTGATTATTCACCAAATTGCCACTTAGTGGGTTATGCTAGACCACTCCTCTTCTCACCCAAAAATTGCCCTTGAATTACCTTGGTATGCCTCTAGGTGCAAATCCCAGGTGTAAGAGAATGTGGCAGCCAGTAGTTGACAAATTCAAGAAAAAGCTAGCACTATGGAAAAGGAGATGCCTATCATTTGCAGGTAGATTAACCTTGATCAAGTCTGTATTATCTGGACTGCCTGTGTATTTTCTGTCTTTATTTAAAATGCATGTGGGCATTGCTAACAAGTTGGACAAAATTCAGTCTACTTTTCTGTGGGGTGGTGATGACGTAAAGAGGAAACTACATCTTGTTAAGTGGAAGGAGGTGTGTAAAAATAAGTGTCAATGTGGGCTTGGCGTGAGGAAGCTTAGTGAATTTAATGAGTTTGTTGATCAAATGGTGGTGGAAATTTGGAGTAGAAGACAAGGCCTTATGGAAAAAAGTGCTGTGCAGCAAGTATGGTCAGCATGGAGGTAGGTGGAATCCATTGTTAGTGGAGTTAGGGGGGGTTTCTGTTTTATGGAAGGATACTCTGATCTTAGCTGCTCGAAATCCATCTTTAAGGGAGTTCTTTTTCTCTAATTTTAAGATTGTGATTGGAAATGGCATTAGGACAAAATTTTGGGTGGATGTGTGGTGTAATAACCAGAGCCTTTCTCTTGTTTTCCCTAGACTTTTTTCCTTATCAGTTCATAAAGATGGTTCAGTGTCTAATTTTGTGCAAAGGAAAAATGAGGGTGATGATTGGAATCTTATGTTTAGAAGACAGCTTTTTGCTTGGGAAGAGGAGGATCTGGCTAACTTGTGTGAGTACCTTTGTGTTGTACCCAGTTTAAGGAGTAATGTGGAGGATCAGTGCACTTGGCTGGCTAATCCATCTGGTTTTTTCTCTGTAGCCTCTGTGTGGGATTGGATGGCTTCGCATAAAGGGTGTAATCTTAGATTCATGATGAATATCTGGAAGAATATAGCACCTCCTAGGGTACAATTCATGTCTTGGTTAGCTTAGAGAGGTAGGATGCAGTTTGCTGCTTTTATGCAAAGGGTTTGGGTGCTCAAGTCTAATGCAAACATTCTTTGTGTTTTTTGCAAGACAGAGGTGGAGACTCAGAGTCATGTCTTGCTGTATTGTAGTCGTGTTTGGAAAGTGTGGTCTGGGATTATTGATTGGTGGGGTTTGTGTTGGGCCATTCCTAAATCAGTTCAGTCTTTGCTTAGTTGGTGGGCTGGTTTTAAAGTGAAAAAGAAGGTAAAGATGTTGTGGAGAATTGTTCCTATGGCTGTGCTATGGTCAGTTTGGGAATTGAGAAATGCTTGTTTGTTTAATAATGAGCAGCCTCATTTTGCGAATTTGGAGGAGTTGGTGAAGGTTAGAGTGGCATTGTGGGCAAAGTCCAGGTTGAGGGATCTGCATTATTCTGTACATGACATTATCTCAAATTTATGGCAGATTTGTTATTCAGTGTAATGGGGGTGCTACTGGTGTATTGACTGCAAGTAGAGGCTCTGCTTGTAGGTTGGGTGCCTGGCTTTGGGTATTGTCTGTCTTGTGGCTGCTGCTGCGATTAAGCTTTAGTGCCTTCTGTTGCTGTTGAGAACAAATTTCGCTTCTGCTGTTGCTGATGCTCAGCTAAGGTGTCCACTGCAATCTGATTGATAAAGAGCACAAAGGTGTGGAGTCTGATTAAGCATCAGTGCTAGTATGTTTTGGCTATCTGCTAAGAGATGGGTGAAGGTCTATGTAATTCAAAAAAAAGGGTTCATTAGGGTGGTCTTGGAGAACATAATGGACTGCATTCTGTATGTTGCTGATATATGATGTTGCAGTTGGAGCCTCATTGATTTTGAGATGCCTTGGGCACTGGTTTGTTGTGTAGGTGTATGCTACTTCTGCCTTGGGCTCTGATCTGGGGTGCTGTATGATTGAGTGGTTGGTTGTCTTTGAGGTCTGTTGATTGGTGCTCAGGTCTACAGAATGCTGTGTAGGTGCTGGTTATTGGTTGCTCAGTTCTGCTTCAGGGTTGCTGGTGCAGTTTGTAGTATTGGATGTAGATGGTCTGAACTGATATTCAGTTTTTTGAGTGCTGCTGCTGTGATGGACTCTACTGTGCTGTGGTGCTGGTGTATTTGCTGTGGGGGTGTTCTACTTCTTGGATGCTCAATTTGTTAAGTGCTACTGCTGTGATGGTCTTTTCTGTGTTGTGTAGCTGGTGTATTTGCTGTGTGGGTGTTCTGCTTCTTGGATGCTCAATTTGTTTAGTGCTGCTGCTGTGATGGTCTTTTCTGTGTTGTGTAGCTGGTGTATTTGCTGTGTGGGTGTTCTGCTCCCTGTTGCTGATGTTTTTTTATTTGAATTGTCCTGTTGTAGTGTTGTTTGCTTGTTTTGGTTTGTCTGGTGAGGTTGTTTTCTCACCAACCCTTGATGGTGTGCTAGCATCTGACTGGACGGTCTTATTGGTGTCAACCTAGTTGAAATTGATTTGGCTCATTATGATGCTTTTTGCACTTATCATCTTTTTCCGTTCTCTCCTTTATTGATGTATTAGATTTTTCTCTTCATCAATAAAGTTTATTTTATTTGCTGATCAAAAAAAAAAAAAAGTATAAGCCAAAGCATTCCTCACACAGTTTCCCAAAATAAAGTTTTTTTTTTTTTTTTATAGCTTATTAAGTTATTGCTACCTTATATACTATAAACAGAAGCTGCATCAAATAATCTGATGCAAACATATAAAAAAAAGTTTGTAAACAGTTTAAATAAGTTACACCAACAATCTTAACATAGATTCGTAAACACAAAAAAACAAACACACAACTTCTTGTAGATCAAAAGGTTGCACTAAATTGGGTCTATAAATGTTAGAGAGTTGTTATATCCCATCGGAATATTTCATCACAACTCTTCACATCCTATATGGTTTCTCATTTTTTTTTTAATAATAATAAAAAAAAAACTATGTAAATAGGCATATGTCATTCATTCTATGAATATACTAGAGAGTTGAAATAAAAACAGTGAGATAAATTCAGTGATAAATAACATTTTTCTGTCGCGTTTCTCTGTTTCCAAATCCATATGTTTTTCTATCGCAAAACATTAATATCCATTGAATCATATATTGAGATTATCGCATGGTGAAAAGTTTAGTGATTTAATGATTCTAAGTATTTTGAGATAAAAGAACAAAGAGATTTGAGAGTGGAGAATCTTGAGCATGTTAAGATAGCCCCAAAGGCCAATTACACATACCCACAAACACACGCACACATAGATAGACAGAGAAGCTTGAATGCTGAATGACCATATTGAAGACTAGAAATTGAATCAAAACAATTGCAGAAAGAAACTTACAAAGCAATGGTACAAATTGCAAGCTAGTTCAAACGTTTGAGAGACTGTGATTGTGATGAATGAAGGAAATATTACCCGTTTTATAGTTGCATTATTACATACAATTTTGTGATGTTTTTTTAAACATTGGCAATTAACTAATTAAAAAGTTTCACACAACTTTTTAATAGACAGATGATGATAATGGTCCTCTCAATCGTGTGATTTTTTATGGTACTACTAGAATTTTGGGGATTGATTTAAGGGGTACTTACGTGTACGTCATAATAAGTGAACTTATTGTCTAATAGGTCCTATGAGAAAAATTTGTTATCAAAAAACGTCACTGATTATAAGTTTTAATGACAATTTAAAAAAATCATGACAAAAAAAAGTCACTAATTGTCAATTTTTAACGACATATATAAAAAATTGTCACAAAAAAATTATTTTTAGCGACAAATTTATCAAGACTTATTTTCAGTAAGACTTGATGAGAATTAGGTTTAATTATTAGGACCTATTAGTAGTTTACCCTTGATTTAAATGTAGTCAAACTTTGACGATTAGGTAATTAAAAAGTTTCACACAAACTTTTTAATAGAGAGATGATGATAAGGATCTTTTTTAGGTGTGTCTTGCATACTATATGTAAGGCACTTACACTTTCTATGTTTTGGCTTATATCCATTTGTGTTATTAGTTATACCAAATTTTGTTCAAACTTACACATTAGTGACCTGCTAAGCGGGTCACCTTACAGGTAAAATTAATAAAATAATATATTTTCACAAAAAGACGTAAGATTTTAAAAAATTTATACCTTTTGTGAAAACTTACACTTTTGTGAAATTTACGTCTTTTGTTAAAACTTACACCTTTTGTAAAAAAACTTACATCCTTTTTGAAAACTTATACCTTTTGTGAAATATTCTTTGTAAAAATTTATACCATTTATTAGAACTTATACTTTTTGTGAAAAAACTTACACACTACAAAAATTTTGATTTTTTGCGACAACAAAATGCCGTTGCAAATACTCATTATGCCGTCTCAAAAAACTTTTAGCAACGGCAAATGACTTTTAGCGACGACAAACGGAGGGTCATAATAGAGGGCGTTGCAAAAACTTTTTAGCGACGCCTTTTTTTCACGACGGCATATGTTACTATTCGCAACAACATTTTACTATCGCCAATGATGTGTAAAAATAGAGACCTTTTTGCGACGGCACTGTTTTACCGTCGCCAAAAGTATTATTTGAGACGGTAGAAATTACTGTCACAATTTTTTTTTTTTTTTGCGACAGCATATTTCTTTTTGCGACAACATTGATTTTGTGGTAAAAAGGGCTTTTGATTTTTTGCGACGGTGTGGTGCCGTCGCAAAAAATGCAATATTTATTAAAAATTATAAAATACCTATTTTTTGTGACAGTTTCGTGCCGTCGCAAAAAAAAACAAAAAAAACCTACTGTAAATTAATTAAAAAAACAAACAAACCTGCTGTAAATTAATTAAAAATATTAAAATTACCTGTATTTAATGAAAAACAATTTTAAAAAAAAAACTAATAATTGCATAATAATATAAAAATTCCTGTATATAAATAATAATTTCTCCATAATAAACATATTCTTACATTCATAACTGTACATGAACAAAATAAACCCAATACATAATGTTCCATAATATACACATATAATGTTTAAATACATAATGTTATTTATAATTCAAAATAGCATAAATCAAAATTAAAAGTTTTCCTCAGCATTCTCCGTGGTACAAAAACAAAAATTAGTAACATTCTTCACAGGCATGAGATCCACAAGAAGCAAACTCCTACTCCGAAAATATCTAGAAAAAAAAATAAAAATAATTAATGACAATATAATTATGTGTTAATATATTAATTACAAAAAAAACAACATAAAAATTTAACTACTATACAATTAGAAAGATAATTAAGTAAATAATTGTGCGTAGACCGAAATCCGACTCTAACTCCCAAACCAGAAACCCGATTAGAGTCGTCTTCTCCCACAAGTCTCTCATGCCAAGGTGGTCGTGTGTGCCAAGTTTTGTGCTAATCCAATGCCATTTGGTGATTTTGGGACGTTAACACCTTGAATTCTAAATTTTTTAAAGAACTAGTTTATCTAAAGTAAAATCCGGCTCTAACTCCCAAACCGAGAACCCGATTCGAGTCATGTCTTCTCCCACATGTCTCACGTGCCAAAGCGGTTGTGTGCCAAGTTTCGTGCTAATTCGATGCCGTTTGGTGATTTTGGGGTGTCAACACCTCAAATTCTAAGTCTTTTAAAAAACTAGTTTGCCTAGAGTGAAATCCGGCTCTAACTCCCAAACCGGGAACTCGATTCGAGTCTCGTCTTCTCCCACAAGTCTCTCGTGCCAAGGCGGTCGTGTGTGCCAAGTTTCGTGCTACTCTAACGCCGTTTGGTGATTTTAGGGCATTAACACCTCAAATTCTAAATTTCTTAAGAAACTAGTTTGTTTCTTAAGAGTGAAATCCGGTTCTAACTCCCAAACCAGGAACCCGATTTGAGTCCCGTCTTCTCCCACAAGTCTCTCGTGCCAAGGCAGTCGTGTGTGCCAAGTTTCATGCTAATCCGATGCCATTTGGTGATTTTGGGGCGTTAACACCTCGAATTCTAAGTTTTTTAAAGAACTAGTTTACCTAAAGTGAAATCCGACTCTAACTCTCAAACCGGAAACCCGTCTTCTCCCACAAGTCTCCCGTGCCAAGGCGGTCGTGTGTGCCAAGTTTCGTGCTAATCCGATGCCATTTGGTGATTTTGGGGCATTAACACCTCAAATTCTAAGTTTTTTAAAGAACTAATTTACCTAAAGTGGAATCCGACTCTAACTCCCAAACCAGGAACCCGATTCGAGTACTGTCTTCTCTCATAAGTCTCTCGTGCCAAGACGGTCGTGTATGCCAAGTTTCGTGCTAATCCGATGCCATTTGGTAATTTTGGGGCGTTAACACCTCGAATTTTAAATTTTTTAAAGAACTAGTTTGCCTATAATGAAATTCGACTCTAACTCCCAACTCGGGAATCCGATTCGATTCCCGTCTTCGCTCACAAGTCTCTTGTGCCTAGGCGGTCGTGTGTGCCAAGTTTCGTGGTACTCCGACACCGTTTAGTGATTTTGGGGCGTTAACACCTCGAATTTTAAATTTCTTAAGAAACTAGTTTGTCTAGAGTGAAATCGGACTCTAACTCCCAAACAGGGAACCCGATTCAAGTCTCGTCTTCTCCCACAAGTCTCTCGTGCCTAAGCGGTTGTGTGTGCCAAGTTTCATACTACTCCGATGTCGTTTGGTGATTTTGGGGGGTCAACACCTCGAATTCTAAGTTTCTTAAAGAACTAGTTTGTTTAGCGTGAAATCCGACTCTAACTCTCAAACCGAGAACCCAATTCAAGTCCCATTTTCTCCCACAAGTCTCTCGTGCCTAGGCGGTCGTGTGTGCCAAGTTTCGTGCTACTCTGACGCTGTTTGGTGATCTTGAGGCATCAACACCTCGAATTCTAAGTTTCTTAAGAAACTAATTTGTGTAGAATGAAATCCGACTCTAACTCCCAAACCGGGAATCCGATTCGAGTCTCGTCTTCTCCCACAAGTCTCTCGTGCCTAGACAGTCATGTGTGCCAAGTTTCGTGCTACTCCGACGCCGTTTGGTGATTTTGAGGCGTCAGCACCTCGAATTCTAAGTTGCCGATTAGTTATCTAAATAGAACTTTTGATTTGTTATAAGGGGACTCAATTTACTTGACACATTATTATAAATAAATTTATAAATTAAATATGTAAGTTTCTAACATAGTACATACCTATTGATGACCACAATGATCATAGAGTTACTAAGAGACTTCACTGTTGGGAACCGAAGCTGATCAAGCAGTAGACCCAGACCTTGACTCGCTTCAATTGATAAATCTCCAACATTGAGTACAGGATGACCTCCACAAAGCCATGATATATTAAACTCTAGAAACTTTCCTAAAATGATCGAGCAGTTGAGAATCATAAAAAGATCATTTAAGTGGTGCAAATAACATAAATAAAATATAATAGTATAACACTTCAAGCCTATAATGTCAATGGATGTAGCATTACCTTCAAAGGCTTGATGAGGAGGTGGCTCTGAAGAGCCACTAGGATCGGGAGTATAAAGAAGAATAACTGCTTCAACAAACTTCAGTGCTAGCAACCTTGTCCCATCACTCCCAAGCTTGGAATCATGTGGTGAAAAAGAATCAGACCATGCACAAAATCTAAATAAGTGCACCATGTGATTAGAATCATTGCTTACCTGGAAAGCTATCAAGTATATTTCATCCCTGAACTTCAGCACCCATGCCCATGATGATTCAAGTGAATTGTCCAACTCACTAGAGTACAAACCCTGGAAATTACAGAACTGAGTATACAAAATTTTTCATTTTTAACAAAAAATAAAAATATATTATACTAAAGGGTAGTTTGGAAAGTACACAAGTGATGAAGCAATAGGTGGTGTTCGAGGATACATCATACCAGTTAGTTGCTGCAATAAACCTTATTCATCGTTTAAGAAAAGATGAACTATTAGACTAGGATTTACAAATGTCAGTTGGTTGCTTCTGTTGCCCATGCAAGTCAGATTGAGTGATGTCCAAAAGATACAGTCAGTGCAAGCCAAACCAATGTAGACTTTGTCTAATGTATTCGAGAGAACTTGGGAGCACTTAAGCCTATCTAAGTAAGACAAGCTTAAACAAGAATGGTTGAACAAGCCCAAAACTATCCACAGGTCAATAGAGACTTGGGTGATGCACTATGAATCAACGACACTTATGCCCTAGCAAAATAAGAAGTTTATCTATTGGAATAAGCTAAGACACTTATGCACCAGTAAAGTTAACTATAGACATTGATAATCCTTGACAGCAATCCAATCTCATAGGTAAAATGTAGATATGGTTCATTATACTTTCAGTAGCTATTGCAGTTGCACAAACGCAGAAAATAAACCTTCAGAGATATCAACCAAACAGGCAAGTAAATATGTGTCCAATACCCAACCCACATAATAGATTCAGAATATTAACGTACCTGAATTGCAACTTTTACAAGAGTGGAACAAAATAGATCAATTCCACAAGTGATGGTTTGTCGAGCAACAGCTGGTGTTCCATCTTTTAATACAGTTATCAAAACAGGTATAATGTCAGGTATGAATTCCATATGCTTCAATCCTATATCACCAATCATCCTACATTAAAAGACACATAATCAAATGAGGCATACTCAGTTTTGGATCAGAGGGGGAGGGGTAGCAAACTTTGAAAATTAGTAATAATACATTACCATCTCACCAAATTATGTGTATAACATTACAACAATACAAACAGAAGTGTGAGTTGTTAATATTTACTTATCCAAAAAGATAAAAGAAAGAAAAAGAATTGTGGGGAAATTCCTAGTGATTATGGATTTAATTAACAATAATCAGAGTTACAGAAATTGGGGCATTACAGCGGGTATCAATTACACACTTTGATAATTGAAATTTTCAGAACACATAAAAATTGCACTAGTAAAGCTAAAGTACCAAAATTTGTGCATAAATAGAATCCTATCGAGATTATATAATGTGAAGAAGCTCATCTCAAACTTCAAATTTCAAATTCAAGTAATTTTCAAATCATCAAACTCTTAGATAGTAATTCCTAGCTCCAAACTCTCCAATTGAAGTTCAAACCTCATAACTAAAGAAATATTTTAATGTAGTGATTGCCGATTTTTGATTATGCAAAAGTCAAAACCAAAATAACACAATCGAACAAGCATGTATAGACTCAAAAAAATGGTCAAAATCAAGGGTAATAGAAATCAATACACACCTTCGGCATTAGTAGAGACATGTAGTAACAGACAAATCACTAGAAAAAGGCAAAGAAGAGCTGAGGCCGAGATCGCAGAGACAGCTCGATCCATGAGAAGAATCTAAAAACCTAGATTCCTCATCAACTCTTTACTCAACTAGAAACACTACCAAATTGAACACTCCGTTGAGAAAAACTATAAATAAATAATAAAAAAAGCCCTAATTCGGTAACAGCGGAGCTCATCAAACGGGAGAAAACTGGAAGTCGTCGTCATCGTGGAGAGAGATTATGAGAAAAGACCCGAGCTGACTTCCAATGGAAGGTAGTTGTTGGAATTTTCTATCACTTTCCCAAGAAAATTAATGAGGTCAGAATGCCGACGAGAGAGAGAGAGGGAGAGAGATTTTTTGTTTTTTTTTTTTTTTTTTTGAAAAAAATTGATAGGAAAAAAATTAATTGAAAAAAATTTAATTGAAAATTTTAATTAAAAAAATTAATTGAAAAAAAAAATATTTGAGAAAAAAAATTATTTGGAAAAAAAATAATTAAAAAAATTGTTAGTCAAATTTTAAAATTTCTGTTTAAAAACCAACGTAAACTCATTTTTTGAGTTTACAATTTTTCCTCAAATTTATAAACTAAGACAACTATTTATAAATCAAAAAAATTATCAAATAAGTTTTTATGATAGTTTTGTAAATTTTTGTAAATATAAACTGAAAACTTAAAATGAAATGGTTACCAAATGAATCCATGACCGTTGCCGTTAACCTATATTTGCAACGAGGAAAGGTTACCATCGCAAAAACAAACTCATTTTTTTGCCGAAAACCTCTGTGTCTAGTTTGTTGCGCAATGAAAGTTAGAAAGAAAGAGAAACAGAAATGAGAGAGAAACAAAAGATGATCAACGAGAGAGAAAAAAAAAGAGATGAATGAGAGAGATATAGAGAGAGAGACATAAAAAAAGAGAGAAGAGAGATGAGCAAGAGAGATAGAGAGAGATAGAAAAGAGAGATGAGTGAGAGAGAGAGAAGAGAGATGAGCGAGAGACACAAAGAGAGACCCATTTCATTTTTTGACTTTTTTTTCTTTCAACAACAATGGACTCCGAGAAAGAGATGTATGTGATTAAGAGAAATGAACGATTGAGAGAGAAGAGAGAGAGACACAGAGAGAGAGAAAAAAAAAACAGAGAGAAACAAGATGAGAGAGTGATAGACAGAGAGAGAGAAAGAAAACAGCAAAAAGAGATGAACAAGAGAGAGAGAGAGAGAAGAAAGATGAGCAAGAGAGATAGAGAGCGAAGAGAGATGAGAGAGCCAGAGAAAAGAGTGATGAGTGAGAGAAAGAGAGGGACACAAAGAGAGAGAGAGAGAGAGAGAGAAAGAGAGAAAAGAAAGAGAAATAAGATGAGCGAGAGATAGACAGAGAGAGAGAGAGAAAGACAGCAAAAAGAGATGAACAAGATATATATATATATATATATAGAGAAAGAGAAGAAAGATAAGCAAGAGAGATAGAGAGAGAGAGAAGAAAGATAAGCAAGAGAGATAGAGAGAGAGATGAGAGAGCCATAGAGAAGAGTGATGAGTGAGAGAGAGAGAGATGAGAGATAAAGAGAGACAAAGAGAAGATAGATGAGCGAGAGACAGAGAGAGAGGGACCCATTTTATTTTTTGACTTTTTTCTCTTTCGACATGTGACTAAGAGAAATAAGAGATGATCGATTGAAAGAAGAGAGAAAGAGAGAAAAAAAAGAGATCAATAAATCGAGAAGGAGATCAATAAATCGAGAAGAGAAGAGGGAGAGAGTGAGCAACGCGAGCACAGTATGAGAGAGACATGGGGGGGAGAGAGAGAGAGAGAGAAAGAGAGAAAGACGCAGGCACATAGACAAAGAGTGATGAGTGTGAGAGAGAGAGAGAGAGAAAAGAGATGAATGAGATAGAGAGAGATAGAGAGACAAGAATTTATTTTTTTTTATTTTTCATTTTTTTTGGTTAATGATTTTTTTTTTATTTTGCATTTTTTTTAGTTAATGAATTTTTTTTTATTTTGCATTTTTTTTTATTTTCCATTTTTCATTAAAAATTTCTTTGTTTCATTTTTATTTTAATGAAAAAAAATTTATTTTTTTTGTTTGATAGAAGTAAGGGAAATATTTTAATGAAAAATATTTTCTATTAAAATAAAGTTAATTTTTTGTGGTCAATGATTTTTTTTTTTTTTAGGCCCATTTTTTTTTGTTACTATAAATCATAAACTAATTTTTTGTGGTAGAGGAGAGAGAGCGGCAGTAGTAGTGAAAGTGGTGGTGGTGGTGGTGGTGGTGATGGCGAAGGAGATTAGTGGCGAAGTTGTGGTAGTGGTAGAGGAGATAGAGTAGCGGTGGTGGATGAGTGGTAATGGTAGTAGTAGTGGCAGTAATAGTGGTGGTGATAATGGAGTGGTGGCGATGGTGGTAGTAATGGTAGTTGTAAAGGTGGAGTGGCAACAGTGGTAGCAGTAGTGGTAGTGGAATAACATTTGCAGTAATGGTGAAGGTAGTAAAGGAGATGGGTGGTGGAGAGAGATGTGTGAAAGACAGATAGAAAAGAGATATAGAGAGATAGAGATAGAGTGATGAGTGAGAGAGAGACAAAGTGGTCGCTAAAAGTACATTTTCTTGTAGTGGATCGATAAATCGAGAGGGAAGAGTGATGAGTGAAAGAGAAAGAGACAGAGAGAGACAAAGAGAGAAAGAGATGGAAAGTGAGAGACAGAAAAAGAAAGAGAAACAAGAGATGAGCGAGAGATAAACAAAAAGAGAAAGAAATAAAGTGAAAAGAGATCAACGAGAAAGAGACATAGAAAAAAAAACAGAGAGAGAGAGAAAAGAGATGACAGAAAGAGAGAGAGAGAGATAGAGAGAAGAGAGAAGAGCGAGAGAGACATAGAGAGAAGAGAGATGAACGAGAGAAACATAGAGAGAGATAGAGAGAAGGGTGATAAATGAGAGAGAAAGAGAGATAGAAGAATGATGAATGAGAGAGAGAGAGAGAGACAAAAAAAGAGAGAAACAAAAGATGAGCGAGAGAGAGAGAGAGAGAGAGAAAGAGCGAAAAAAGATAAACGAGAGAGAGACAGAGAGAGATGAGCGAGAGAGCGAGAGAGATAAAGAGAAAAGAGAGAAGAGAGACAGAGAGAGAAGAGAGATAAGCGAGAGACACAGAGAGAGAGAGACAAACAGAGAAGAGTGATGAGTGATGAGTGAGAGAGAGAAAGAGAAGAGAGACAAAGACACAGAAAGAAAGAGACAGACAGACAAACAAAGAAGAGTGATGAGTGAGAGAGAGAAAGAGAAGAGAGACAGAGACAGAAACAGAGAGACAAGAAGATGAAAAGATGGGTGAAAAGAGATATGTTATATCAAAAGAGTAAGACAACGTTTTTTTTTTTTTTTTGTGACAGAAAAATACCGTTGCATTTATTTAAACCATTTCGTGACTATATACATATGAAGCCATCTCAAAGATTGCAAATTTTTTTTTTTTTTTTTGCGACTACAACTAGTGCCGGACTACAGCTAGTGCCGTCACAAAAACTCTATTTTTTTGTGACAGCAATCTTTGCCGTCGCAAATACTCTATTTTTTTTTTTGCGACAGCAATTTATGCCGTTACAAATACTCTCTTTTTTCGCGATAGCATTTTCTGTCGTCGCAAATACTCTATTTTTTGCAACAGCAAGTTGTGCCGTCGCAAAAAGTTACATTTTTCGCGACGGCAAATTATGCCGTCTCAAAAAGTCATATTTTTCGCGACAGCAAGTTGTGCTGTTTCAAAAAAGTCACATTTTTTTTGCGACGGCAAGTTGTGCCGTCTGAAAAAGTCACATTTTTTTGCGACGACAAATTGTGCCGTCTCAAAAAGTCACATTTTAGCGACGACAAGTTATGCCGTCGCAAAAAGTCACATTTTTGTTTACGGTAAGTTGTGCCGTCCCAAAAAGTCACTTTTTGCAACGGCAAACGTGCCGTCGCAAAAAGTTCCATATTTTAAGCCCACTTTTCTTGTAGTGACATTTTCTGAAAGCTTATACATTTTGTGAAAAAATTTACACCCTTTGTGAAAACTTACACTTATTGTGAAATATTCTCTTTGTGAAAATTTATACATTTTGTTAAAACTTACACATTTTAGGAAAACTTACACATTTTGTGAAAACTTACACTTTTTATAAAACATTCTTTTTATGAAAATTTACACCTTTTGTTAAAACTTACACATTTTATGAAAACTTACACTTTTTGTGAGAAAACTTATACCTTTTGTGAAAGCTTACATATTTTGTGAAAATTTACACCTTTTGTTAAAGCTTACACATTTTGTGAAAACTT